GTTTTGTGAGATTTATTCCTAGATATTTTATTCTTTTTGTTGCAATTGCAAAAGGAATTATTTTTTTCCACTTCTTTTTCTGACACTTCATTATTAGAGTATAGGAATGCTATGGATTTTTTAACATTGATTTTGTATCCAAAAACTTTACTGTATTCGCTTATTCTTTCTAGTAGTATTCTTGTGGAAACTTTAGGGTTTTCTATAGAGAGATTCATGTCATTTGCAAATAGTGACAGTTTGACTTCTTCGTTTGCTATTTGGATGCCTTTTATATCTTTCTCTTGTCTGATTCCACTCGCTAGGACCTCCAATGTTATATTGAATAACAGTGGCAATAGTGGACAGCCTTGCCTTGTTCCTGATCTTAGAAGGAAGGTTTTCAGTTTTTCACCATTAAGTATAATGTTGGCCAAAGTTTTGTCATAGATGGCCTTAATTATTTTAAGGTACTTTCCTTCTATACCGATTTTGTTAAGTGTTTTGATCATAAATGGATGCTGTATCTTGTCGAATGCTTTTTTGCATCTATTTATATGATCATATGATTCTTATTTTTTGATTTAAGTGGTGTATCACTTTAATCAATTACTTTTAATGTGTTCCATGAGGATTATTCATGGCTTCATGAGAAGATACGTTTTGGCAGGGCCTACTGACATTCCTATTTCTCTTCCTCTAGCCAATGTAGTTTTTCTTATGCAGGAAAACAACACTTTCAAGCCCTTGGAATCGTGGACACCCAGGAACCTCAACTTTCAAACGAGACGAGGGGGACCTTACGTGTCTCCCCTTTCTCTACTGGTGAGGCACTAGACATTTATCATCAAGGGTCAGCTCAGTTGTTATGGCATATAAAATGGCAGATCTAGATTCTGACCCTTTGAATTTTTCTAAGCTGGCTTGAGTGAGAAAGGGGTTAGAGAAGTAATGTTTGAGCAGAGAAAGGGAGGAGATGTATGTCCTCCGATCTTTTTATTTGTTTAAATTTAAGGAGTAGAAAATATTCTTAGGCCTTTAGAAAGTTTTCTACTTTATTCTTTGTTTTCCCTCTGATTTTAAGAGTACTGTGTGCCATTGTGAAAATGATTTAAAAATATAGAAAAGTATAAAAAAGAAAATCACTATCTCTTAGAGAAAAACCATTATTAATGTTTTACCTCAATTCTTTTCAGTCTTTTAACTATATGTACAGTTTTACAAAATTGAGGTCATGTCATATTTATAACTTTGTATCTAATTTTTTTAAGTTAAAACTCGTAGTAAACATTTTTTTAATTAAACTTATTGGGGTAACGTTGGTTAATAACATTACATAAATTTCAGGTGTACAACTTTATAATACATCTGTATATATTGTTAACTCACTAGCCGAAGTCTAGGTTCCTTTTGTCACCATGTATTTGACTCTATTTATCCTCTTTGTCCTTCCCCCACCCTCTTTTCCCTCTGGTAACCATTCTATTGTCTGTATCTATGAATTTGTTTTTTTGTTTGTTTGTTGCTTTTTGCTTTATATCCCACATATGCATGTATTCATACCCTTCTTATCCTTTTCTGTTCGACTTGTTTCACTTAGCAGAATACTCTCAAGATCCATTCATGTTGTTGCAAATGGCAGTATTTCATCTTTTTTTATGGCTGAGTAGTATTCCACTGTATGTATGTACCACATCTTCTTTATCTAACCATAAATCAAAGGACATTTAGATTGCTTCCATGTCTTGGATAGTGGGAATAAAAACATTTCTTAATGGATTTTATTCTAATAAATGGACTGTAATTTATATAAGTACTTCCCTGTTGTTAGACACTTAGTGGTATTCACATTTTGCTTTTAAAATAATGCTGTCATGTAAGTTCTTGAGCATAAATCTTTGCATACATTTCAGGTTTTTTTTTTCTTTAGGATTAGTACCAAGAATGATAATTACTGGGTTAAAAAGTGTAATATTTTAAAGATTTTTGATACATAATGCCAAATTTCTTTCAAAAAAGTTAATAAGAATTTACATTTTATGAGTAATTTGTAGCCATTTAGATAAATTATTTGTTTTTTTTAATTGCTAATTAGATAAAATGTTTTATTTTAAGTTAAAACTAGTGATTCCATGTGAATATTAGCCATGTATATTTTCTTTAGCAAATGATTGTGTCCTTTGTCCATTTAGCTACTGGTGTCTTTAGTTACCCAGGGATTCATTTGCTTTTAGTAGACCATGAACTTCAAGATACTCCAGAGATCACATTCTAATCTTAACCCTATGGGAAAGCCATTTTAACATATTCCATCCTAGATAGATAAAGTTAATCATTTGTTAAATTTTTGTTTCATGGAGGAAGGAAAGACTTGGAGCATGATAAATTAGTGGATAGTCCTTTTTGTATGTGTGCATGATTTTTTTTAAGTGGTAGAATATACATAACATGAAATTTACCATTTTAAACATTTTTAAGTATACATTCCAGTGGCATTAAGTACATTCACAATGTTTTACAACCATCATCACTATCCATTTCCAGATTTTTTCCATCATTCAAAACAGAAGCTCTTTACCCATTAAATAATAACTCCCTATTCCTCCCTCCCCACCCCAGCCTCTGATAACCTCTAGTCTACTTTCTGTCTGTGAATTTGACTACTCAAGGTATTTTTTGTAAATGGAATCATATATCATTTGTCCTTTGTGTCCGGCTTATTTCACTTAGCATAATGTCTTCAATGTTTATTCATGTTGTAGCATGTATCCAAATTTCATTCCTTTTTATGGCTGAATAATTTTCTATTATATGTATATATCACATTTTCTTTATCCATTAATCTGTTGAGGGACGATTGGGTTGTTTCTATCTTTTGGCTGTTACGACTAATGCTGCTATGAACATTCGTATACAAATCTCTGTTCAAATTTCTGCTTTTAATTTTTGGGAGTATATACCTACCTGCAAGTGAAATTGCTGGATCATATCAGTGTTTAATTTTGGGAGGGAAATGCTTTACTGTTATCCATAGCAACTGCACCATTTGACATTTCACACAGCATTATACAAGGGTTCCAATTTCTCCATATCAATACCAACATTTGTTATTGTCTGGGTTTGTTTGTTTTGTTTTTTATAATAGCTATCCTAATGGATATGAAGTGGTAGTTCAATGTTGTTTTGATTTGCATTTCCCTAATCACTAGTTGTGTTGTGCATCTTTTCATGTGTTAATAGGCCTTTTGTATATCTTTTTTGGAGAAATCCTTATTCAGATCCTGTTTGTTTCTATTGTTGAGTTGTCGTAGTTTTTAAAAATATATTTTGGATATTAATCCCTTGTCAGATACATGATTTGCAGATATTTTCTCCCATTTTGTGGGTCGCTTTTTCACTTTCTTGATAGTACTTTTTGACGCATGAAAGTTTTTAATTTTGATGGAGTTCAGTTTTGAAAAGAAGTTCGTTATCCATCTTTTCTTTTGTTGCCTGTGCTTTTTGTGTCATATCCAAGAAATCATTGCCAAATTTAATATCATGAAGCTTTCCCCCTGTTTTCTTATAGTTTTAGCTCTTATATTTAGATCTTTTATTCATTTTGAGTTAATTTTTGTATATCGTGTAAGGTAAGGGTCCTGGAGAGTTTTTAACATTGTCAATATACTTGACAGGACAATGGAAACTTGGTGAAAAGTGAAATGAAATATCTGGGCAGTCCTATCACTGCAGTTCCAAAATTAGATAAAAACCCAGAACAAAGAGAAGACCAGGCAAAGGAGATTTTAGGTGAATCGATGGAGTTTTCTCTGGAAGATCAAGAAGAGGCCAAGGTAAAGTGCTCTCTGATGGTATCTTTGCATTTTTCACATTCCTTCATTTTTAAATGAACAGTGTTGTATATCTAATTTGTTGCAGTCACTATGAAGTGGTAGGTCTGCAGAGATCGAGAAGATATGGTCTTTACACTCTATATGCTACCTGACTGATAGGGTATGAGGTCACTTTGGAACTCTTCTTACTACTGGGTGAGAAGGTTGTAGTTAATAGTTTGAGTAGGTCACCATCAGTGTAATCTGATGTAATTGATACCTCCAGAATAATAGCAAAGGACAGAATATACCTAGCATGATTTTTCAGCTATTTTGCAATATATCCTTTTGTCTTCTTGTTTCCTCCCCATATCACTGGTAGGAGTATCTGAAGCCTGTGGCTTATTAACAATGTATTAATACATTAAAGATGGTTTCTGAGGCATTAAACAGTTCTGAATCAAATTCATTTCTTTGGGACAAATATGTGTGGGGGTATATTTTTAAAATTCATTCATTATACAAGGCAAATATGATTTAGTGGAGTTAGAGCACGTGGATTCTAGTCCTCATTCTCTTATTTAGTGTTATGAGCATGAACAAGACACTTGAGCAGTCTAGGCCTCAGTTTCTCATTTACAAAATGGAGAACATAATAATAAAAAATATCTTCCTAAGGATTGTTGTGACTATGATAAAGTATTAACAGTTTGTAATATTCCACATACTTTATTATTTTTAATAAAAACTAATGTTAGCTATAATAATAGTAAATATTTATTATGAAACTAACAAACATCAGGTGCTATATTAGAACTGAAGACAGAGTCATGATTAATACAAACAAAATTCCTAATTTTCATGGAAATTTATATTTTTTTTAGTTAAGAAAATAGACAATGTAAGTAAGTAAACCAATAAGCAAGATGACAGATCATCTAAAGTGCTATAAATAACAGTGACATAAAAAAAAAAGACCTATGAGTTTGGAGGATACACTTTTTTAACTTTAACCTGAGTTACTGGAGAAATGGTGGCACTATAATGAATTACAAAGAAGGGTGAATTCAAAGAGAATAAGAGGTGTTTTGTTTTGGACATTTCAGTTAGAGGTGGTAAACAGGAAATTTAAATGGAAATAGTAAATGAGGAGTTGGAGCCATCAGAATTGGATATGTACATTTTAGAACCATCTGCATAGAAGAGAAAGTGAAGGCTAATGACTCCCAAACTTAAAGGTAGAGAGAAAGCTTGTGAAGAAGGAGTGATAGCCACTCAGGAGACTGATAATGAAGTAGATACATACAGGAATAACATCATTCAAGAATCAGAAAAGAGAGCATCTTTCTGTTTACCAGATGGGATGCTGTTTGATTCATGAATCATTGAATAAAGCCAATTAAATCTTTAAAAAAAATCAGAAAAGATCTAGGACACTAATAGGGGTCAATTTTATATACTTATTCATTTTATACATTTATTTTTTCAGGTCTTTAAAAAATATTAAGTCCTTTTATAGGCTAATTTTCTTGGACTCTGACTCTTAAAAAGGTCATTTTCAGTTAAGAGCCAACTGATTAAGACTGTGCATAACAGTACATTTTGGTCTCTAATTAGATTAGAAAAGAGTAGGGATTTTTTGTTATTGGTTTACCTCTTTGATGCTAAATGGAAATAGATACCTTATAAGGCATGAACTCCTTGGAGACTGGTGTAACATTATAGTGATTTCTGACTCATTCATTTAAAAAATATGTATTAAATACCTGTCAAGTGTCAGGCACTGTGCTAGGCACTGGTGCTACAATGGCAAGCTACACAGGCTAGGCTGATGCCCTCCTAGAGTTTGTAGTCTTATTAGGGAGACATCAATAAACAAGAAAAATGTTTATCGTTAATAGATGTTCTGGTTAGAGTTCTTGATTGAAAATAACAGAAATGGATTCTAGTTATCTCAAGTAGAAAAGGGATTTTTTTGAAGGGTATTGAGGAACTCAGAATTATCAAGAAGGCTGGAAAACAAGGTAAGACCTGGCCAGAGTGCTACTATGAGAACATTGTGCTCGGGATTCCACCACTGGTTGGCTGTACCCTCAGTGCCACTATCACTGGCCCCCTGCTATAGAACATAATCCGACCTGCTGTTGGACTCTGCTGCTCAGGGACATTTGCTGTCACCCACTATATTCTTCATAGTAATGCAGCAACCATAAAATTCTCAACCGACCCTGTGCTTTTGTGTTACTCTTCAAGGTTCAAAATCCAGGTAGGAATGTCTAGTTGGCTATAAGAGAATGAAAAAGGAAATATCTGCCCCACTTTAGCCTCTTTATCAGGAGTCAGGGCTGCCTCCTATCTAATTTGAGATTTTACTAAAATAGGATGCTTGATAGCCAAATTGCAAATGACAACCATAATGTCCAAAGTAATTTAACTATTGCAAATTGTTCAAGTGTAATGAAGGAAACAAAATGGGGACTGAGACAGGGACTAATAAAAGGGAACCTTTAAATTGGGGTAATTAGGAAGGGCCTCCTTGAGCAGGAGATACTTAGTTGAGAAGAACTTGATGAGCTGTCCCATTTTGCCTGTGACTGAGGAGCTTCCTAAGACTTGGGACTTGCAGTGCTAAAACTGGGAATTGGGATGAGTTGATCACTCTAGTTGTGAAGGAACCATACATGAAAACAGTAGAGGCAAGAGCATTCCATGAAGAGGGAATATTTTAAGTGCAAAGGTCCCAAGGTTGAAAAGATCTTTGTGTTCAAAGAACTGAGAAGCCAGTGTGAATGGCAGGGAGAGTTACCTGAGGTGGGAAAGAAGAGGTAAGTAGGAGACAGAACATTCAGGGCCTTTAGGCTATGGTGAGTATTTGGATTTTATTCTAAGAGCAGTGGGAAGCTATTTGAGAGTTTTAATCAGGGGAATAATATGACCTGATTTGTTTTATGAAGACTACTCTTATTGCTGGATGAGGAATAGGTTAGAGAGATTTAATAGTTGGAAGGAGTGGAGCAAAAAGGATTTGGAAACAGGTAAGAGTAGGAAGCTATTGCACTAGTCCCTGTGAGAGTTGATAGTAGCCTGGACTAAGGCAGTGGCTATAGAGACAGAAATAAATGAATTCAAAATGTATTTTGGATATAGAAGCAATAAGATTTGATGGGTTGGGTATAGACTGAAGGAAGGATGGGATCAAGGATCACTTTAGACCTATTAAGTTTGAAGGGTTTTGTTTCAAAGAGAAAACAGAAGTAATCAGATGAAAACTACCTTTGCTCACCAAATATAGCAAGCTATCTCCTCTAATACCTATATCATCTGCCTTTCCTCTTATTATACTGCATGGAGTGGCCCTGCATTTATCTAAAGCCCTCAACCCTTTTTCACACTGCACCCTATTAATTTGTTCACTTAATAATGCTGGAGATAGAGTACCGAACGTAACACAAGAACGTAACACAGGTTGCTTATATTTAGGCAGGAGGAAACAGACTAATAAACCAATATGTTTTTAATATGGTAGATGGTAAAAATACTATGGTAAAAAAAAGCAAGGTAAGGAGAACAGGGATTACTTGGGTTGAGTGGAGTAAGAATAGTTGATCTTTTTGATAGGTTGCACAGATTAAAGAAGACCCCTCTGTGAATGATGTTTGAGGCAGCCATCTGAAGCAGTGGGGGAGCCAAACAGTTATCAGGAGGACTGAGTTATTCCAAGCAGAAAGAAAAGCAAGTACAGTGTCCCTGAGTTGGGCATGTGCTTGGCATGTCCATGGAACAGGAAGAAGGCCAGTGTGGCTGGAGCAAAGTGAGCAAGTGTAGAGTGGGAAATGAGAGCAGAGAGTAGGTAGCAGGAAGACAGATCACGTAGGGCCTCATAGACCATTGTAAATATTTTGCAAAAACTGAGTCAGATGGAAGCATCTCCTCTTGTCTGCTCCTGTAGTATTTCTTCTCTTTCTTTCTCTTTCCTATGTTATCAATTTTCTCCTTTCTCCAAGATAAGTGGTTCTCAAATGTTTTGGTATCAGGATTCCTGTGCAATCTTAAAGTTGTTGAGAACCCCTTGCCTTGTACCTGATCTTATAGGAAAAGCATCCAGTTTTTCTTCATTGAGTATGATGTTAGCTCTAGGCTTCTTGAGATGCTCCTTTTCAGGTTGAGAAAGTTCCCTTCTATTTCCAGTTTGCCGAGTGAAGTTAGCAGGAACAGATATTAGACTTCATCAAATACTTTCTTTGTATCTCTTAAGATGATCATATGAGGTTTCTTTTTTTAACATGTTAATATGGTAAATTACATTGATTTTCAGGTGTTAAAATAACTGCATTTTGTGATGACCTTAGTCATAATATATTATCCTATTTATATATAGTTGGATCTGATTTGCTAAAATTTTGTTGAGAATTTTTCTATCTAAGTTCATGAGAGATACTGGTCTTTAGTGTTTTGTTTTCCTGGTAACGTCTTTGGTATTGGCATCAGTGTAATGATGTCATTATTTGTAAATAATTCTCTCGTTTTCAGTTTTCTGGAAGAGTTTATGTAGAATTGGTTTTTATTTATTTTTTAAATGTTAGGCATAATTTACCCATGAAGCCATCTGGTCCTGGACCTTTATTTGTGGGAAGTTTTGAAATTATTAATTTAATCTCTACTTTTTGTAGGTCTAGTCAGATTTTCTGTCTTTTTCCTTGAGTCAGCTTCAGTAGTTTTTGTCTTTTTAGGAGGAATTTGCCCATTTAATCTAAGTTTTCTCATTCATTGTCATGTAGTTGTTCATAGTAATCCCTTATGATCTTTTATTTCTGTAAAGTTGATAGCAATGTCCTCTCTTTCATTCCTGATTTTAGCAATTTGAGTCTTCTCTCTTTTTCTTAGTCAGTAGCTAAAGGTTTATCAATTTTGTTGATCTTTTTAAAGGACCAGGTTTTGTTGTTTTTCTCTATCATTTTTCTATTCTCTATTTCATTAAATTTTGCTCTAATCTTATTTTCTTCCTTCTGCTGCTTAAGATTTAGTTTCTTCTTTGATGAAAGTTTAGGTCATTGACCAGATCTTTTTTATTATAGGTATTTACAGCTACAAATTTTCATCTAAACACTGCTTTAGCTGCATACCATAAGTTTTGGTATGCTATGTCTTCATTTTCACTCATCTCAAAGTATTTTCTAATTTCCATTGTCATCTTTGTGGACCCGCTGATTTTTTTTCAGTTTTGCCCCAGATTTGAATATTAACCCCTTCTCACTTTCAAATGCCAAAGGAAAAATTACGATACAGATATTAATTCTTTTTGTAGTACCAAAGGAATTAAAGTCAAAAATAAACGTTCTTGCCATTGTGAATTAAAAGACCAAAGATGTGCTCCTGCCTCCTGCTTCTTCCCCTGCATCCAAGCCAAGCTCTTTGGCACAGTGTGGTCAGAAGATCAGTTACATGAGGGAGACTTGAGCAAATAAATCGTCAGTGCATTGAGCATCATGGGAGTCGGTTTTCTTACTGCCAGAGGAGAGGTTATGCCGTGGAAAGGAGACAGACTATAATAAACGCTGTGGTGAGATTGATTTTAAGGAATTGGCTCACGTGATTGCAGGGGCTGGCAAGTCTAAAATCTGCAAGGTAGGCCAGCAGGCTGGAGACCCAGGACACAGTTGATGTTACAGAATTCCCTCTTCTTCTGGGGACCTCAGTCATTCTCTCTGGACCCACTGATTATTTAGGAGTGTATTGTTTAATTTCCACATATTTGTGAATTTTCCAAATTTTTTCTATTATTAATTTCTAATTGTTTCATGTTCAGAGAACATACTTTGTATGATTTCAATACCTTAAACTTAATGAGGCTTGTTTTATGACCTAGTATATGGTCTATCCTGGAGAAGAATTTATATTAGAGAAGAATATATATTGTTGGATACAGCATTCTGTCTAAGTCTGTTATGTATAGTAGGTTTATAGTGTTGCTTCAATTAGTTTTTGAGCTTTCTAAAAATGATACCATACTAAATGTGGCCATCACTGGTTTTGCTGTTTTCACCAGGGCCTTTGCATTTGTTGTTCTTTTGGCCTGGAACTCTCTTCTCATAGGCAACACATGATTTTCTCATTCATTTCAGTCCCATTTCTTGTCTGTCTTTTCTACTCTCTTACTGCTATGTCACCTAATAGGTACTCAAAAATTGTTAAGCAGGTATGTCAGTATGAAAGTCTGGAAGAACAGAGGTCTTGTTTATAGATAGAAATTTGAGAGTCATAAGCATAGAGGAGAAATTTAAATTTATGGACAGAAAAAAAAATCACCTATGGTAAGAGTGCTGTAGTGGCAGTTCTAAGTCTCATAAGTAATCTATAACATCTGATATGTGGTTTGTTTAACCATGACCCTGTTATTAAACATTTAGTTGATTGGTAATTTTTCTCTATTATAAACATGCTCGGACATCCATCCTTATAGCCAAATCTTTATGTCTACCTTTATTTCATTAGGAAAACAAGTGGAATTATTTTTTAAAAGGGTATGCATATTTTTAATGATTCTCCACTCCTTCTACCCCCTGGTTTTTAAACCTTTAACATGAGAATTGGGAGTCAGGGGGAATCTTGTCATTTTCAGGATTTATGTCTAAAGAAAGTCTCTCTCTGTGACATTAATATCACTCAGATGCTAGAGGAAGATCCTAATCAAGGGTACCTGACTGGTGATTTCTCTAAGGTGAGTGTGGTTGCACCCCTCCTATATTTCAGTGAGTCATTTTGGGTCTGAATCTTCTTTGCTTGCAGAAAATACTAAGTATAATTATGCATTCTCACCAAGTACTCTCTGATAACCTGAAGGTGCTGTAGTGGCAGTTCTAAGTCTCATTGTCCAGTGAGAAAGTATTCCTATTTATTCTGGGAATATCCAGAGCAGTGGGGAAATTATGAGACTTTTTACCTTTTTTCTTTTTTAAAAATATATTTTAAAATTATATAAATAATACTCGGTAATACGGAAAAGGTAGAAAATCAAATCCACACCAAATCTTATCAACCAGAGTATAATTGCCTTTAACATCTTGGTGTATATCCCTCCAGATGTTTTTCTGTTTTCACAAATACACATACGCATACAAATACATTTTTCAGTTTTCTACAAAACAGTTTATACTGTTCTGTGATCTGTTAGAGTTCTTCTTTCTCATTTACTATATCCGGAACATGTCAGTAAATAATTCTACTTCATCATTTTATCATTTTTAATAGCACAGTATTTCATTTTTTTGGCTGCCCATAATTTCTTGATAAATCCCGTGTAGAGTATTTACTTACATAATTTGAAAGATACTAAGATGGACATAGTTGTAGCTATATCTAAAACTGTACACATCCTTAATTAGTTCCTTAGGATCGGTTCTTAGGAATGCTGCAGTTTTTAAAAATGGAATGCACATTATAGAAACCATTGATTTTTGAAGGCATCTGGGGTTTTAAAGGTCATTTGTAAAGGACAATATATGGGTGTTTGATCTCAAATTTGGGTATAAAAAACTTGCTATTATTTCAGTTCTTGGGTATTTCTAGGTATGTGCGCTGCCAACCATGTCAGGGAGACACCAAGATCTGAAGTACATCAACCCAGAAACAGTAAGCAGATTTCTGGAGATGGTAACTGGTTACATAAGCAACCATCTGGTCTGTTCTGTCCCTAAAATCCCCATTCCATTTGTATTTCTTCTACTATGTTCACTAACATAGGCTCCTTATTTAACTGATGCTGTATTAAAGGACTCCCTTTTATCTCATTCTTCTGTCACCTTCGTTTTTAATTAAACAAATGATGTATAATTGTTAGGAAAAAAAGAAAAGACGGGAAAAAAGAAAAGGAAGGAAGGAAAGACAGAAAGAAGAAAAGAAATAAAAAAAGAAAAGGCAAAAAACCCAAAAAGGAAGAAAGTAAAAATCTCTCAACTTGGGTGATTTACATCCTGGTTTATATGTTATAATTTCATTTATGCCTATCAGTGCAGAGTAGTTATTAAAATGTTCTCTTTCACACTGAAAATTGTCCCAGTTTGTACAATAATTATTTGGTCACCCTACTGATAATCTCGCCATCAGAGATAACCACTAATAATATTTTTCTCATGGCCTTCCTGATTTTACTCTAGAATATATTTTATAAAAATAGGATCACGATGAACATGTAGTGTTATAATTAGCTTAGTAAGACATTGTAAACATCTTTCTATATCAATAAAAAGATATCATCTTTTTAATGGTTATATAATATTCTATTGCTATGTGTAATTTATTTAACCAAACCCTTATTATTGAATATTTAAGTTACATGTAATATTTTGATAACCTAAAATAATGTTGAGATGAATATTATTGTGCCATATTTGTGTGTACTTTTCTGTTTACTTAAGAGGTTAAAAAAGAAATTGCTGTCTACAGACATGCCACCTTGAACAAGCCCAATACCATCTGTTCTTGGAAGCTAAGCGGGGTCGGGCCTGGTTAGTACTTGGATGGGAGACCACCTAGGAAGACCAGGCGCTGTAGGCGTAAAAAATAAAAAATAAGGGATTGTAAGCTGACAACGGTCCTTGCAATCTGTGAGATCAACCAAGGGTTGCCTTGCCTAAAAAAAAAAAGAAAGAAAGAAAAATTGCTGAGTTAAAATGTAATTACATTTATTTTTATATGTATTTACAAAGTTTCCTCCAGAAAGGTTGAACCAATTTATACTCCTACAAGTAGCTTAAGTTTCCTCCTCTGGGTATCAAACAACTTCTTCCATATTCTTTTCTAAAAGACTTGCTTTCTTCCTTTACGTTGGAGGGTGGGAAACAATTTCCCATCTCTTCTTACAAAATCGGGATTTCTAGCTACTACTTGAGCCACTGCAGAAGTCCTTGCATGTCTTCTGAGAGATTGATTTCAGGTATGTCTGCCTCCAGATGAGTAGCTTCACTATGGTTCTTCATGGTATTCTGGCAATACCAGCTATTTTGGTTCTCCGAAAAGGCTACTTCCTATTTCATCCTCTTATGTGGGGTGGGGGCTGAACCACTGTCACATTTCAAATATGGGGGCCTTTGGAGGCTAGGCATACAATGGAATCCTAGGTGACTAAATGGAGTGCAGTTAGGAAGCTGTGTGACTGGGTCTTTTCTCCCTCTGAGTGACAGTGAGCAGGGTATTCAATCATAGTTTCTGTGCAGGTGGCTGCCTTACTGTTGGGGAAATTCCAGGGTCTGATTGAGAAGTTTTATATCATCGATTGCCGCTATCCGTATGAGTACCTGGGAGGACATATTCAGGTGAGGTTACACTGGGGACATTAGCAAGAGAGGAGCTGGAGACAGCTCTTTATTGAAAAGAGTGGACAAAGAGTCCTGTGAACTCTAGAACCAGGGCAGACATTATATATTTGGAGCACATCAAAGCTGTAGTCCGCATTCTTCTAATTCTCTATACCTTGAGCAATTTACTTCCCCTTTCCTCCTAGATCAATCTTCTTCTTTTCTTTAGGAGCCATGAGCTCTTACATGGATATAAAAACATTAACTCAAAAACTGAAAAGCACTTTGCAAACATTTACTGCTGATAGGCCTTCCTCACAGGGATCCTTACACTTTAGGCAGTTGGGGTCTACAAGCATTTAGTGAGCAACTACTACCTACCAAGCTCTATGCCAGGCCCTGGGGATAGATACAAAGATATAATTAGGTCTCTGCTCTGAAACTGCTTATAGTCTGGTCTTCCTGGCTCAAATATCCAAAGATGGTATTCCAGGTATTTCTAAGTGTTGGCACTGTTCACAGGCCCTTGAGGAAATACCTATTAAAATTCTTCCACAGGGAGCCTTAAACTTATACAGTCAGGAAGAACTGTATAACTTCTTTCTGAAGATGCCTATTGTCCCTTTGGATACACAGAAAAGAATAATCATCGTGTTCTACTGTGAATTCTCCTCAGAGAGGGGTCCCCGAATGTGAGTGTCTACACGGGGTGGGGAGGGTGATGGAAATCGATTTTGAGTTGGGATTTGCAACCAAGAAACCTTCCCAGATCAGACAGAGACTGACTGAATGAATGCTCTCCATGCAGTTTGAAGCAAGAGGCAGGAGAAAGGAATTTCTACAATTCAAAAGTTTGGAGCAGTAAAGGGAAAAGGATTGAGAATTAGGCACCAATGGAGGAAAGGAGAAAGAGTGGTGCTACTTAGACCTTGTTTTGCAAAAATAATGAGCTCCGGAGGCTCTTATTGGGGTTAGCAATAGTCTATTCTTCCTCCCCTCCCCAGTAAATGGCCCAGGGAATCCTGACTTTGCTTCTTTCTACCCCACCCGTCTCCGGGTTTTCTCTAAAGGTGCCGCTCTCTGAGAGAAGAGGACAGGGCCCTGAACCAGTATCCTGCATTATACTATCCTGAGCTGTATATCCTCAAAGGGGGCTATAGAGACTTCTTTCCAGAATATAAGGTAAAGGAGGGAGCATGTGGGGCAATGGGGAGGCTAGACTTGGGGGAGCCAACTTTAGCACACAGCTCCCAGGGCCTGCCTGCAGAGCCTTCTGAGAAGAAACCACTGCTCCTTAGTCACCACCAGTAGCCTCTCTATTATACTTAGTAGGCAGAGATCAGGAGCCTAGAGGATCCCTTATTCTGTCCCTGACCTTTCAGGAGCTGTGCGAACCACAGAACTACTGTCCTATGCATCACCAAGACCATAAGGCTGAGCTGCTGAGGTGTCGAAACCAGAGCAAAGCATGGGAAGAGGAACGGCAGCTGCAGGAGCAGATTGCCTTGCTGGTGAAGGACGTGAACCCATGATAATAGATCAGCTGCTGGCTGCCTAGGAGTCACCAAGACATTGTAAAAACTCTGGGCAGAAAGAGGTCATCTTCCATGTGGCTGAACCCAAGATTGTTCGAAGATGTCTGTAAACCAACAGTCTGCCAAACTGATGAAATCCTAGGCCCGGGGATTGATTAGGTTTCGGTAGAGCTGCTGGCTGGTGGTGAAGTCCTGGAACTGACTCTAAGGCTGTAGCCTTGGGTTGCACTGTGAGGGAGCATTTGTCTTCTCTTCTCAGCTACTTATGTCTTTGCACAGCCAGCCAGCTCTTTCTCTGGGCTTCTGGCTATAAAAGAGAGTTGCCCACCTTTTTTCTCTGTGTTTCCCTTCTCTGTTTCCCTCTCTTTTTCTCAAATGGGAAAATAAATATTGTAGAATGAGAAATGCAGAATAATAGCCTAGTTGGCTCCTAGAAGATTTATATAAGGAAGCGATCACCAAATTGGACACCTTCAGATATAAAGGTATAACCATCTCTAATTTAGAGCTGAGACCAAGGTAATTTTCTGAAGATTCTGAAAGTTTAGACCCTGAACCATCAGTATCATCTGAACTTGTTTGAAATGCAAAATTTCAGAACCCACCCCAAACTTACAAAATCAGAACCTCTGCGGCTAGGCTCCAGAAATCTAGGTTTTATTTTATTTTATTTTGTTTTTTAATTTTTATTATGGTGACATTGGTTAACAAAATCCAGTAAGTTAGGTTTTAAAAATCTTCCTTGTAGGTAATTCTGATGCATGCCAAGGCTTGAGATCCGCTGCTCTGGAATTAAAAACCTTTCATAGTGCATTCTTCAATAGCCCAGGCTTTCCTTTCCTAGACCATTCCATGCTCTGAGTTATGTAAAAGTGTGCCTCAGACTCAGCACTCTGGTATCTAGGCTCAGAAAACCAGATGAGTGGCATTCTCTAAGGCAGGTGATAGGTCTGACTTTGGCTTAAAAGGTTCCTTACCTACAGCCTCAATGGAGTTTTGACTTTTACCATTTTCCAAACTTCTCCACTCCATTTTACATCTCACAAAGACAAGTCGATGTTTTAGGGTGGTTGGTAGTAGAAATTCGTGTTATGTGAAGATAGGAATAAAAGAAAATAAAAAGTACCAAGCTAGATCAGTTAGAATTAAGGAAAACTTTTTAAACTGTATTCTTTAGCAGTATCCCAGGCTTTCCTTTTTTTGAAATCTTGGAGTAGGAGGCTTTTGTCTGCTTAATGAGAAACAGCCCTATTTGGCCTGGGGTGGCAGTGGAATTGACTATAAACATTGTCACTCTCCAGCATTAACTTACTAGTAATGATAGCCAAGGACTAGAAAAGAACAAAGGGCTCTGAAACCTAGGCTGAGATAGAATAGAGACAAAAGCGATATCTTCCCTGGTTCTGGAGCAAGGAGATTTTAAAAATGGATGGGAAGGAGGGCAATAGCTGGACTAATTTTTGCAGGGTTCCCAAGTGCTCTTCTCCTAGAGTGCCAGGTGCATGCCTCACAGCAGAGGGCACTGCTGTATTCTCTTAAGTCAGCCACTGGAGCCTGCAGCCTCCATTCCTGGCTGGTGCGTGCCTATCCAGAGGGAAGAAGCCTAGAAGGAAGATACCTCTGGCCCTCTCTCTGAGCCCGAGTTCAGGGCTCACAAGGGCTGGAGGAACAAAGAGAAAAGCTGCTGTTACATTAGGCAGGGATGACTGAGAGAAAGATGCTGCTTATCTGTCCCGTCCCCGCCAACCAGGAACTCCTAGTAGCTTGTGAAAGAAACTGCTTGAAGCGCCTTCACCTCCAAGTGTAAAGAGGGGTCTCTGACTCACTGCTTATCCTAGTGGGCCATTTCCTGATAATTCTCCCCAGAAAAGTAGAACCAAGCCCCCACCTAAGAAGAGACTGGTATATGTGTTCACATTTCAGTAATCTTAATAAGTGAAAATTCTGACTTGCAAAACAAAAAACTAGGGCTTAATTAGTTATCTACTTTGTGAAAAATTATATTTGCCCCAAAGGCGATATTTTTCCATGATTTCTTGCAATATCCTCCCACTGTATATATCTCATGTGATTTGATTCATGTTATTTTCAGGAACAAGAATAATAGCAAGTAACACTCTTCAGTTATTTATTGCATGCAAGACTTTTTATGAACACGTGTATTTATAAACTAATTTAATTTTCACAACAGTCCTGTGAGGCAGGTACTGATTATTATGCACATTTTACAGATACAGATATTAATTTATTTTAAGATCACATAGCTAGTGAATGGTGGAGTTGGGATTTGTACTCAGGCAGTATGGTTCCAGAGTCTGTACCCTTAACAGATTTTGCTATTACCAAATCCTTATCAAAGGACAATGTACCTTTCTAGAGTTTGTATTATATTGGGTGTTAAATATGTAAGCCTCAATTGTAGACTTTTGAGAAGTTAGAGCCATAGGGTTGCTTTACCTTGAGAGATGAGGCTAAGACCCCAGCCCATAGACCTTAGCACAAGGTTATTTAGGGAGTTAGTTCTGCAATGGTGTTCTTACATGGCTAGTATTCATCATCATGAAGTCAAGTAATAAAGCATGGAAACTTTTTTGCCTAAAAACTGCTTCTGGTTGTAAATCTCAGCCTAGGACCTGGCTGACCCCTGCCATAAAGAAGGGAGGAGCACTTGCCTTTTTTTCTCAGGAGTATGAAGAGGGAGGTATGGAGGGTTCTCTTTCCCCATTCAGTCCAGGCAAGTGTTAAGGAAACACCAATTTATATATATCCAGGGTTGTCGATTCTAAGTACCACAGATATTCTAATATGATACAGTCCCTGCCCTCAAAAATTGACAAGGTGGAAAATGATTCTTTGTTCCTATCCCTGGCCCACTAATATGTTCAGCAAAAAGAAGGTGAACTGTAGCCTCCAGCTCCAAAGCAGCAAGTTGGGTAGTGGGGCCAGCCAAGTTCACTGAATAATTAACTCCTACGTGCCATTTGAGATGATATCACTCTATTCAGTGTTTGCTATGTATCAGGCACTATGCAAAACCCTTTACCCAATACATGTTTAATCCACACGACTATTATATGTAGTAGATACTGTTATCATTAACTTTAGTTAAAGATATTGTATCACAGAAAAATCAAGTGATGTGCCCAAGGTTACCCAGCCTGTGTTGGAAATGGCATTTGAATCCAGGCAGTCTGAAAAGCTTGTGCTCTTTAACTATTATTCACTATATTACTAATATCCTGGGTTAGGGTAGCAGCAGGAGGTAAAAAGCTTAACTGTGAGAGAGGACTGGATAGAAAGCAGAAAGCCAAGATTACAAGTGAAAGTGGAGTAAAATACAGGGTCTTTGGACCTTGGAGCCCCAATCAGTGAATTGCAATGCCTCCCAGGGCAGAGTTTGTGTCTTAATCGTTTTTGCACCTGGCACAAAGCTGGACCCATAATCAATCTCAAAAGACTTTATTGAATTGAATGATGGCTGAGAAATATCTTTGTAGAAAAGATTGGCTCATTCATCATTATCTACAAGGTTCCCAATGGCAATGCTGCTTATCTAGCAGGTGTTGGCAGTCATAGAGGACATGGTTGGTGGGGAGAGGGTGTGCTGGAAGCGCTGTCAGTATTAGTCTTAGAGGCTTCCTTAACCCTTCCCTACCTTTGGTTACCAATCCTCATTACAGGCCCAGTGATGTCAGGCTCTCCACCCCAGTGCCCCAAAATAGCTCCAGGCATTTCACTTACTCTCACAAAAAGATTGGCCTCCTAGAAGTGGAATTGGGCATTGCTCTCAGCCCATCAGTTTGACCTTGTTCCCGCCTTCCTGGTCCATTTCATGGCTGTAGCACTGAGCAGACTTTGAATAGGCACCCTGAACAAATGTCTTGTCCTAACTTACCCTCCTTCCCCAAACTTGATTTGGCATTGTTGCTGAAGGAGAGCAAAGGTAATAGTTCTTGACAACACCACCTTTTAGTTGATTTGTAAGTCTCAGCCCTTTCCCAAAATTTTGTTTGGAAACTGTTGCCAGAGTGGGAAAGTGAGGGCTATCAGCTCCCAGCTACAGGTTTTCTAACCTTACTGGGAGGGAGGGCTTGAGAAAGGTACATTAAAGGTAGGGTGGAGCTGGGAGAAAACAGGTCCGGTACAAAAGCTGAGTAGCCAGATGTTCACTTTCACAGTTCTCCTATAAGACTGGCAGGGCAGATATAGATTAAAATGAAGCACAAACTCCATTTAAAGTGCATTACAGCTCGGGAACCAGCTCCCCCTGGGCAGGAGAAGGAAGGAAAGGGCACAAGAGGCCACATCAGTCTCCTTCCTTATCTAGGGCCACATGTCTCTCTCTTAGCTTTGTGAAGGGTGATTTACACCCCTGGCTTGAATGATTCTCTTTCTGGGCTGATTACATCGGCAAATGCCCCCCAGAGGCCATAGCAGGATGGCCATATTCAGAAGCAACAGCCAATAAATCTCAGAGGTTTATATTGAATGGCCTCAATACCCTCCCTCCTGGCCCTCTGCCAGGTCAGCTGTGGAAGTAAGGAGCAGAGCTTGGTTTGGAGGGTTAAGGGATGAAAACCTCTACTTCCTTTCCTCACCCTCTTTTTCTCTCTAAACACTGCTTAGTTCTCATTCTTCAAGTCCTACTACCTTTATCTTTTTACCCTGAGAGCAGGTAAAGAGAACCAGCCCTTGGCCCAATAAATATCCTTGCCTTATGGATAGAAATACTGGGCTCTGGGCATAGCGGTGTTTCTACCTAGCTATTTGAAATGATGAGGCTCCTAAATGGTCTCTCCAGCCACCTTTCTCAGTGATCTTGTCTTTCTTCCAGGGAAATCTGCTATTTAGTCTGAGGGGTTATTAATCCTTCCATCCTCCCTCGTGACCCTGAAAGGGCTGAGTTTTGTTGGCCCTGGGATCTGGTTCCACGTCAGCTCCCAGAAAAGGCATTTCACATATCTGAGACCTATCTCTGCAGAATCTTGGGGTTAAAAACAATAACTGAATCTTACCCTTGAAGATACTATGAGGAGAAAATGAAATCATAGATGTGCAAATTCCAAGAAAAAATATGCTAGAAATGCCCTTGTGCTGTTTTTTTCAAGTTTTGTTAAAAGATTTCTTATATGGTGGCTGTTCCTTGGTGGTAGTGGGGTGGAGGGGAGTGAGAGAAGGTGCATAGATACTGAGACGGTATCTCTCTCTCTCTCTCTCTCTCTCTCTCT